GAGAGAGAGAGAGATGCTGTGGCCATTCCATCTACTTAAAGATTAATATCCGAAAGAAATGGAAATATAGTATTTCAAACAGCTAAAAAAATAAAATAATGTGAATAAAATTAAAAATAAATAATTGTAATCAATATATGTATTTTATTAAGTTAATCAAGAATGAAAAAAGAATAATGAAATAAGAGGAATGGAATGATTTCATGTTGTTTAGTATTTAATATCATCGATCTTCACACGTGTTTTCCACTTCTTTCAAAGACCATCCTGCCATTCGTTAAACCAATAAGAACTCGCAACACGGGGCAACTTTCGAAGCTTGAAATGGTGCAGGAACTGCACGACACTCGTCGCTGCCAATCGTTCCTGCGATGGAACATGCGTTACATCATAATTGGATCACACGCTCGATTCTATCCTCAGCTCGCGCAGCTGAAACAGTCCAATCTTCCACTCAGACGACACTCAACTCAATATGTGGCAGCAACGCCGCTCGCAATTACCTCTTTAACTTCCAATATATCAGACAGGCGTCCAATTGGTTTAATCGGTGGAGGTGTTTTGTACACGTTCATACAATCCACGTCCACCACCATCGTTGTCGCCCGGTTGGAGAAACTACCTGCTTAAAACGACGGTGGGTCCTTTCGTGACCGGACTACGACTTAACTTAGATCAGGAACATCCTAACTTCACAGCGGGACTGCGTAATCCGCCCAGGTTGCTGACGATCAAACTCGGCGCTCCTCGACCTACTTTTACATTGGTTAAAGGAACAGCCGCACGTTTTCGAACTTCCTTCCCGAAAGTCGTGCCGCGGCAACTTCTCGCTTTAGCTTTACGCTTACGTCCCTGAGTTAGATTAAGCTGTCACAAGAAAAATTGCAAACCATTCGAATCAAAGGCAAGAGGATTCGAAATTTGCAATTTCTCTTCTGCCTAGCAATCCCGGTAATCTTGTACAATTTTGTAAATTCTCACTAAACTAAATATTAAAAAACATACATACTGTCAATATCACATTGCGGTACTTTTTTGTAATTAGAAATGCCATTTGTATTCAATTGTGATATTTGATACAACTACGATAGCACTGTAATCTTTAACTGAAGCTTCGGCAGAAACTTATATTTCTCTCACGTTCCCTTCAGCGCTACTAACGATAATTAGCGAAGAAAGAGCCGTGCATCGTGACCGACGAGCCAGAGGACGAACCAACCGGTAACTTAATCCATCGTATCGATTAGGAAATATAACCCAATTCCAGCTAACCGATTTACTCGCACAAATGGATTAACCCGGCTTGGAGGGGCTACGGCGTGAACACGCCGAATTGCTGCTTACTCCGTTCTTCCGCAGTGCATCCCCGGTTTTGCTATCTCTCCTTTTTCGTCGTTTATCTTGTTTTCAGCCACTCCCCTCGCTTCATTTGTCTGTTACGTGCAATCAAGAATCCGGTTGTCCCGACCGGAGCGCCGTACATCTGTCCGGAGGCTCTTAGAGCTCCCAGCCAGGGAGTTAGATTTATTTATTTCCCAGAAAAAACTTCTGGAGCTTCAATTCGGAAAGTCTAACGGAATACGGAAATAATCGTGAACCGTTATAAATTAATCATAAGAATTAATTAATGCGTAAAACAGAGAAAATAATTCTGTTAAATTAATTTAATCAACAATTAATAATAATAATAACAAGGGCTTCAAAGCAAATATTATTAATATTAATAATACAGGAATACAGAAATGTTTATTAGATAAAACCATTTTACATTAAATCATCGATTTTGCTGACGTGATTTTCCGGAAAATTTATCTTCAAATTAATTAGAATTTGGTTGTGTACCGTAGATAAAAAGTTATGCACAAATTAGAAACAATCAGCGCGCATTCAAAGTTGTATATTTTTATTAAATCTTTTCTGCAATTGAATTATATTTGAAGCATGTCCACTGCCGTGCACGGATAATTCGGAGAGATGAAGTAAGACTATCTTTGGCTATCTTCCAGCTTAGAAAAAAATTCCCATTATTTTGCCATTAAGTTTTTTCCTCCTCAATTTTTGTTGGACGTTGAGCACACCGATACTTTTAGTAAATTAATTTTACGGTGCTTGCTCCGTTTCTAAGTTAATGATACCAAGGAAAAAGTAATATTTATTACGCGGGATTCCTTCTCTCGCGTATCATCTTTTTTTTCTACGTCGCCGCGTAAGAACGCTCGGGACTTTTGCCAGTGATATTTTTTTCACGTCGTGTCTGATTGCTTCCTGCTTCAGAAAATATGAGCGGACATTTATAGAATTGCAAAGCGTCGGGATCTAAGCGCGATTATTTATGATATTTGTCGGACTGGGTTTGTTAAGCAACTTATAAATTACACGCGGTACACGACACATTTCAACGATTCCTTCATGAGAGATGAAAACGATCATTTCTGTGAACTTTGCAAGATATCTGTCTCAGTTCATCTTTAGAAATTTCTTTCATGACATCTACCATTTTTTGACAAATCTTTCTGGATTTAAAGAGATGAAAAATATTCCAAACTGAAATAACATTTGAATTATTATTAAGTATTTGTAAAAGTTTGTGAAGTCACCGTTACATGTTACTAGAATTTACTGTTAACTTCTTTAGTTATATATTATTATATAATGTTGCCCTGCATTATATCATCTGTATTTCTTGGTTATCAAATTTAATATTTAATAGACGCTTTCGATTTTTATTAAATTTAATACCGTTAGAATAGACCGTCTTAAATTATTGAAACCACTTGTGGCATAAACTTTTAGCAACAAAAGATTCGTTTTAAGTTTTACATTAAATTTTTATGGTTTCAACGTTATTCTGCTTCTTGTTATAAATAAACAACGAGCATCATAAATGTACTTTATTAGGCATCGAACAATTTAATAGCCAAGAAATGTAGTTTATATTATAATGCAGGGCATTCGATATTGTGACATAATATATAATTAAAAAGTTTCACAATAAATTCTAATAACATTTAACGGTAATTCCACGAACTTTTGCAAACACCTAATAAATACGTCTTAAAGAAAAAAAATTTATTCCACATAACTGAAAGATTATTTTCAAAATGTTCATATTTGGAATTATGAAAAAAGAGAAAACTATTGGACGATTCGACCGAATTAATTCTTCTGAATGAAGACTATTCGACTATTTCAATATTTTTTAGAAAAGTGCAAAATGTGTTCCACGAACGATATATCGTGTATGAGTTTTACTTCGAAATATCTTTTTTTAAACCACTTTAAATCACTTACATCCCGTGAAAGTGAAACGTTACCTTAAGGCGATAAGTTCCGGATTAAATCCAACGTTCTGACTGCTTTCCCGTCGAACCCGACGTAAAACCAACTCGGAAGAGATTTTTCGTAAGTATTCGATTCGAGCAGCCACGCCTCGTGTTCAGGCTTTATACTACGTGAATTTTTAAGCGGAAAATCCAATATTGGTGCCGCGCCGCATTGTTAAGTTCCCGCTTGTTTCCTTTTTCTGGTCGCTTCAGTACTCTCCTTTTGCCCTTCCCCCTTATCTCTCATCCCTACCAGAGACGTACTGTCAATTGAGTTATTCTTACGGGATTTCAGCCGCGACGCGCACATAATGCTATTCATGAGTCCGCATGATTATCGGAAAACTATATTTATCCTGGGCACCATATTAAATCCCTGTTTCGATGTTGGCCTTTCATCCGGTCGGCTATGGCCACGCTTATCCTCGGCCTCTCGATGAGGGGACGAAGATAAATATCGTCGATGATGAAAATAAAATCCTTGACACGGGTTCGACGGGTAGGGCCTCGACCTCGTCACCCCCGCGAATGTCATTTTCGGAAAGCCCATGGGTTTCGTGCGTCTCGTGCGGGCAATATACTCACGCACACGCAGCCTGCCATGTAGGGCTTAATGGTGGCATCTGCATCTTTTATAAGCTCGGCGTTATCTGCATCCCCGGACGTGCACCACCGATGCTCTCCGGTGTCTATGTACGTACCACGACGCGATCGCCACCTCCGCTTGGCACACGTGCACCAAACAGATACCGGTCGTCGATTTATCGCTGGTGCGTATCGCCCTCGGAGTGACGTCGGATCAAGCGATCCGCTTTGGAGTATGTTGCAGTCAACTCTCCCATTTATTACCTCGACGATGCCGATACGCCGATGAGTATCGGCATGAATTTAACTAATAATCAGCAGTAAACGAGACACATGAGAGATACTGATCGACGTTGACTCCGTTCTGATTCGCAATCGCACGAACAATTTGTCGTCATAGCCGATCATTCGATTTACAGCTATTAATCGCGACGATCGAATCGAAGTGACCTGAACGTCTTAATTTACTTCTTAACTACAGTTATGTGAAAAACACTTAAAGTATCTTATTTCGGGTCTACCGAAATAAGATATATAAGCACCAATTATGATTAAAACTTCACAGACTGTACTAACCGTTAAATTTTCACTTTGAGTCTAAATGATTCATTTGTGGAAAGAACAGTTTTGCTGAAATATAACATCTATCTTAAAATTTAGCTAGATCTAAAAATAATTTCATTGAATCATTAAAAATTTATGTAGAAGTATGTACTTAAACGTTGATGATGGAACAAAAAGTTTCAACATTGTAACAACCAGTTTGAGTGTTCTAATAATTATTTGATAGGTTAAACAACATTATTTTCAGATCTGTATCTAGCTAAATTTTTATAGATACCTATTTCAAAATCGTTCTTTCCGTATTACTGTAGTACACTGAAAGAAAAGATTGGCTGCTGCAGCCAATTAAAAATGCTATGCTATATTTTATCATCTAAGTTACAAATTACATTTAATGTAGATACATTAAATGTAATCTTGCATGATTTAATATACATACGTATATACGATGCTTAATCATGCGGTTTAATGATTTTCGCAACTCTATATAGGCGGTACCCTAACATGGGTTATTTCTTGTTGTTTTAGGCTTCCGCCACCGCAACAGCAGGTGACGGTGGGTTCTCTGGGCGGCGGTTTAGGCGGTGCCGGAAATGGCGGTACCGCCACGGTAGGCGCGCAAGGCCAAGCCATGGTGATGCCAGGTTTTCCGCTTCGTGCCGCAGCGGTGCCGCACTATTCCCCGTATTCACCATCGCGCTTTCACATCGACAAACGTTGTCAGCACAGGTGCTCTTGGAAATGCTTCTCAATCGCTCTGATCCTCCTGGCTGTGGCGCTGACGGCGATGCTGGCGTACTTTGCTGGTAAGTAATCATCGCGTTAAACCTCTGCTGAAATAAACTTATCTCATAACTTTGAATGCGATCGAATGCGTGTAGCTGCTCTGAATATATATAACAGCTGATTTTAGATTAACCTCCTATACATGATAATTTTCCGGTCCTTTATCATATACGATGATTGTTTATTTTGGGTTAATTTGCATTACTTTTACAAGTATGCAAAATTATTAATCTTACATATACTTTAACATCTTTAGAAAGTATTGTTTAGTCATCCAAGTAGCAAGGAGACATTTTAATGACATCTTGTTGACGTTAAAGACATTGTTAAGACGTTATTAAGATTTTTATTCTGTAATTCTTAACGACGGTAACGATATCAATATACTTGTCGTTTCACAGATTTTATATATATGTATAGTAAAAAAATGCGCAAAGATAATATGAAGACATCAACTTTGTCGTTAAGAGTTACTGAATAGGAGGATTAAGATGTCACTTGACATTATCTTGCTTCTAATATTTCAAAGAAAAACAATGCCTGGGACACAAATGACCTAATCGTGTGTACTAAATAGAAACCAGATTAGATTAATGTGAAATGAAGCTGTGCTAAAGATACATGTAACCAAATCTATGTCTGTAATGTATGAAGAGAGTGGAGAAACAGCTATTTAATGCAGCTATTTAATGCAACCATTTCATAAATAATATTTGCTTCAATGTAAATTTGAATGAGCCGTTTTTATTAGTCCCAGAGCGCACGTCCGAGTAGTAACATAGCCGCCGGCGGATAGTCGGACGCAATTCTATTGCTGGCTGACCCGAAATTCACGGTACAATAATTCATTATTAACTTGCAAATCTGGTTACGACTAACCCAACCCACCTAATGCTAAAATCCATCGGAACGTCGGCATTACTGCACCATGCTAATCCCTGTACGCACAGAGGGGGATTATACATATGACTGACACCATAACATTCCGCGTGAAGGCATGACGAATTTCGTGTAATCATGCAAATCATAACTAAATGAGATTCACAAATATTAGCAAGCATAAAATTTTCGCTTTATTTCTAAAGAAAAAAAGGTTAAGTAATAATAAATGCGAGGTAAACAAATTTATTTATAAAAACACCTTTTTCAGTGCCATAATAACAGTCAATTTAGATAATATATTTTAAATTTAATAAACAAAAGCGGAATCAAATGAACAAAAGCATGAAATTAATAAAAAGGAAGAGCACAAAAGAATCAATTAAATTCATGCGAGAAAAAGAGAGAAGTAATCCAAAATATTCGAAATATTATACAATACAGTGCAGCTGTATTATATTTGTTTACAGAATACATTGTATACCTACGATATATTGACACTTTTTTTGCAATAATATTTCACATATAATATTGCCGCGCAGCAGTGTTATTTTACAATTGACGTTTAAACATATTTTCTTGCACAGGAAGAAGCAGTTTTTGGTTATAAAACACGCGAGTCCGTTTTATTTTATGTTATGTTGAAACATTTGTTTCAAAGAGATATTGCCAAAGGCATGTTGTCTTACAGATTTTCGAAATAGTGCCCTAAAAGAATTGTTTTCATTGTTCAGATGGTATTCACGATTTTCATCTATGTTATAAAAGAATTCTTACGTAATATATATATGAAAAAATAAATAGAATTATGATCATATTTTTCTTGTTTGCTTTTATAAAATCGTTTACTTTTAATCTTGAATATAGCTTCACTCGTTGGATTACTATCATCATATCCGTAGAGCAGAATAATATGATCGTGCGTAGACGATGTACAAAGTTGTATTCAGGAAAATTAAATACTGTTCAACAGCGGAAGTCCGGATCTTCCGTAGGAAGCGTAGCTACGGCGTAACATTGCCAGCGTAATGGTTCATTTAACATGGAGTGGTTGGCTCCATCCGGTTAGGGAGAGGCAAAAATATTGCCCGTCGATAGTGAGGAAGCGTTTCCGTGGCATGGGGTGCGTTTTATCCATAACATTCGTAGTTGAGGAACTACATATCCATACGTCGCACGATCAGGGAAAAAAGGTGAACTCATATACGAATCGATACCACGCCTTTCTATCCGTTAAAATAATAGTACTAAACTCCACAGGAGATACAGAAAGGTACTTTTATCTTAGATGGCGACACTAGTGTGCCTTTAACGTCCTCAAATATCATCAATTTTAAATTTTTTTTCAAATTTTGATTGTATTCGCTCGAGGAGGAGCGGATTATCGGAATTTAAAAGTACGTGTCTTTGCTAAACGAATCGGGCAATTTCGCAGGGCAATGGCCTACCCGACGTACAAATCGATAGCCGTGCAACTAACGGCGCACTACCTCGGTGCGCCCTATGGCTAACATTGGTAAACTTTACTGCATAAATAACAACGGCAAAACCCCGCGATGTATGTAAACGTGAAATCTTACTGAAGCTAAACACTACGACATTCTTGCCGTTAGTAGCTGGCTCTATTAACAAGCTCGCGGCAAGAAAACGAGAGACAAATCGTCCTCGTTGATCCGCGTCGTTAAGATCAACGTTGAAAGAACCACGTTAGGTTATCGTTACTGCAAAAAGATCTGGGAAAATAGCTCCACCAGGTTCGTTATGCTAATGCAGGAATCAACGGGGTGCGAGGCCAAAGATACGCGCGAACAGGCTTGAAAATCACTGCATCTCCACGGCGTTAGGTCCGATTAGAGGAATTAATGCTTGTGCCTGTTATCAGCGTACAACAGAAAGGAACCAGCTTTCTTCCCTTCTGCCTCTTCTCCACCTTCACGCAAATCGTGTTTTTGCATTTTGCATCTGAAAATCCGTACGATGGTCATGGTCCGACTTGCGAATGTATTAGACTTCATCATCCGAAGTCGCAGGGACTAAGGGGATTTGACGGGAAAAGGAAGGGATGCGAGAGTAGCTGAGGCCGTATTGTGCTCTGTGAATCTATAAACACCCCTTCTCTGCGGAACTGTCCATCTCGACTTCGGCGTCCATGTTCTTCTTCCACCTCCCCATTCTGTCTGCGTGTCGCAGGAAGGGGGAGGAACATGGTGGAGACTGCAAAGTCGGTTCTCGGCCTCGAGGAGACTGCTCGCCAGCTGTTATTTCTACATTCCAGTAAATCGAGTCTGGAATCCAATCTGCCTGTTTGCTACTGTATCCAAACTACCCCGCAGCCAACCTCCAGCGTTATCTCTCTCCGACCTCCCCCGCGTCCGCTTCTCTTTTACGGTTGCTGCAGGTCCGTCTGCTCTCTCTCTCTCTCTCTCTCTCTCTCTCTCTCTCTCCGCGCTCTCTCGCTCTCTCCCTCTCGCTCTCTCTCTCCCTCGCTCGCACACGAGCACACACGGCTGCGTATATATATATATATATATGCGCACACATTGCGAGATACACGAAGCTGCGCGAATCCTTCCTCCTCGTTTCGTCCTTATTCTACCTCGCTCCAGAACGCACGAATTTTGCATGCACGCGAGTTGCCTTGCTTTTCGGTAATTTGACGTATGCTTGCTTGCTTGCTCGCTCGCTTGTGGCCCTCATAGGGCCAAAATCATTTCGCGACAAGCCACTTCCGACGTGGACTTCTTCCACGATTTCATTTGCAAGTAGCTAGCGAAACTGTTGCAACGGTAATTCCTTTTGACAAACAGTCGTAAAGTTGAGAGTTAAGTTAAACAATTTTGTTTGTCACTTATAATTATTTTTATGTGTTTGTAAGTCAAATGAAAATAAAATTTTGTGTGAGTATGTACTATTTTTGCTCATTTTTTTAGAAGTATTTAATTTTTAAAACGCGAATCCTGCTATAGAATTAAACAAGTATCCTGCTATAGAATTAAAAATAAGAGGGAAAAAGATTTTCAAATTCGTGGAATACAATGCAGCCCAACTATTCGTAATTCTTCCTTCTTCCTTCAAATCCTCTTAGACTTTGCGATTTCGGATAATAAAGTCTAATACACTACTTACAAGACGGACTTTGACCGTCATACAAATTTTCAAATCTCGCAAATAAAAATCCTTTAATTATGATTGAAAACTGATACAACTTTAAAGTGACAACTTTTTATGAAAGGTCATTAAAAAATCGCGTTATAATTCAACCGCTTGTTTTCTGTCACGAGAGAACATTATTACTACGCCATTAATAGTTAACTCGTCAATAATAACGATATAGCAGGCAGCTCGATAACGCTGTCGTGTCTGGACTCACGCTTCGGCGGATCGGAACGAAAGGGTAGACGGATCGATTGTAAACATTTCATTATAACGTACGAGCGGAAGTGGGCGGTAGAACGGACCGGCCGGGGTGGCGGCGGGATAATCCTACGATAATCCGGGAATCATTCTCGGGAATGAATCGCTCTATCGATCCGGGGGTATATAATTGAAAAAGTTGTTCCTTTGCATCCCTCCCCCTCTCTCCCGATCCCCCCCTCGTCCCCCCTCGTGAACGTGCCCGCTGTCCTTCACAGTCGCGCTCGCCTTTTCCATCCCTTGCGAAGGCAAGGTAACAAGCAGTATAACGATCCCTTCCGTAGCTCGCATTATGGCCATTTTAAATTTCCGGTGGCTCATCATCAAAACTCGGCAATCTCACGTTCCATATATATATTGAATTTTGAGATGACTTTGTTTCGCAGTATTGTCCTTATAGCTAAACACACAGAACGTCTCGGAGGTCGCAGCTGCCGGTAGATTAAATTGCTTAGAGATCCCAAGTGTAAGCTCATTTTGCATTCGCCATCCGAAGTTCCTAATTTACAACGTCAAATATTTTAGGAACCAACGGCTACGATATTAAAGCGTTGCTAAAATAAAGTCTATATATAAGATAAACTGAGAAACGCACAGCTGCATTACCGAAGATTGATATAGGAAAACTTCTTTTCGGTATATTACAAATATCGATTTTTTTTTTATGTATAAAATGATTCGTGTCTTTTCTGTTAATCGTAGTATTAGTATGTCGAAATTACTGAGTGATTCTTTTTTTCGATATCCAGTGCGATATGTGGAAAGTTGGATTGCTGAGTTGCAGCGACGTGAAGCGGGAACGAAAACGATGCCACGCTGACTGGCATATACGCGAAATAAGGTCATTCACAGTTCACTGCAACTCAATTTCAGCGATAGTTACATGGTGGCTAGGCAACGTCGATCCCGAAGGAATAGTCGCTCTTTTCCGGTCATTTCGCCTATCTCCGGTCTGACATGCGTATATGTATACATGTACACGTTCGCTCGTGTCCATATGCGTACGTATACGAAAAACTGTTACATGTACGCGTAAATCCCTTATCTCGCATGTATAGCACAGCTTCCTTACCTCGAAGAAACTTGTCAAGGACTATCGTCTACACAAAAGACTTTTCTATGATCAGGGATAAAGTTATTGGGAAAATTATTGGGGGAATTAGGTATTATTCTGCATTTATTAAATTATCTAATTTAAACTTTCACGTGTTTACGTGCTACTTCTTTCGTATAAAATATTGAAAGCTCACTTAGAATCTCCATTTTATTTAACACTATATTTTTCTATATATTTTAGCAAAACGCTATAAAGATATAATAAAATAATAATGTACATGACAATGGCAATTCTACTAGAAATGGTACGGCGTGCGCAATAACGAGTGTTATTATCACGACAGAAAGCTTATACAATCCGCGATACGATAAATCGCGGGGCGCGAAAACGCGTCCATTAAATATCGGCGCCGAGTGTATCGGCGAATCGCGATTTGTCAAATCATCCACGCGGCAATAACACGCAAATTCAATTATGCGTTATCGATGTTTTGTTGCGTTGATAAGCCAAGAGGTCGTTAGGCGGGGTTGCGTTGGCCCGGGCCTGCCGCTTTTTAAAAACTCTCGTTAAACCGCGTAATTAATTCGTGGCGCTCGCGGCGCACGAGACAGATAATTAATTAAACCGCAATATCCCGCCACGGATAAGGGTTTTATTGCCGAATTTATCATGGCGTTTAAATTCAACGAACTTGCACTTATCGTTCAGAAAACATTAATATAAATGACCTGAAACTTCAGATAAGTCCTGATATAGCATCAACATAATTGGATCTTGGATTATGTTAATAGGCGATATTAATTGGTTTTTGAGGGATCTTTATCCAAATCTTAGATATCATTTGTCATTGGATATATGGCTTCCTTATTTCAAAAGATATAACTAAAAAATTAAGATTTTTGAATTATTATCTACAATGAATTAGAAAAATATTATTTTATTAATTATTAAAAGTAATCTAATTTAACTTTATAAAAAATATCACAACTTAAAAAGTAATTTTTGAAAAAGAATCATCAAAATCTCCACAACTCAGAAAGAGTTTCTGAGAACTATGAAACCAAAACGACAAAAACTGATATTTAATCATGTTAAGAAATATATTTTTGCCGATATTATTTAACTAGTAAATTAAATAATTTTCCGTCAAATTAAAAAATAGTTTTCCCCTTTTCTAGGAAACTTAATTTCTTAAATTGTATCATTTTTCAAGTAAGAGAGCGATATTATAATAAGTATTATTGAATTAATCGTTGATTATCAATCTTGTTTTATTAAAATTTAAGAAAATATCACTATTTTGTTGAATTTAAAGAGAAATATTATATTATATATAGACGATATAAAAAAGGTATTATAGCGTATACTAGCCCAGAATTCTTGATCTGATGAAGCAATATTGTACGCTCGATACAACTGTGATTTAAGCTATGAGATCTTAAACTTTATTACGGGGATACGTTGTTTTAAAAGTTACTCGAGCAAGAAGGTCGGGTTGTCATGGGAAATCTAGTGTGCTATCGTAATTCGAAAGCGATTGTCCGAATTTATGAACCCATTAGGCTGCTGCCAGACGTTCGACTAAAGCCGTTCTTGATTCCTGACGCTATAAAAGCGTCGCGCGGGCAATACTATTTCGTACTAGAATACTGGTCATACGTTGCAAATATAACATTTGTGTCTTATACGCGCGATTGCGTGTGGGGCATTTCTCTCTCCGCACATAGTAGATTTTCATCTTTCTTTTATTCTAAAATGGAATGGCTTTGTTTACTTTCCAGCAGTGAGCTCTATGCGCCCGATAGACAGCACTAACTGCATTCTGGTTCAAGATATCAAGGCTGTCACTCACGAAAACGCACACATCCACGACTCGATATCCACGCAGATTCCTACAGAAGGTAAATATCGAGCGGTATTAATTTGCATCTACTCTGCATGATGTAAATACTCTCGCGCACAGCGTCATACGCTAATTGCTTTTGGGAAGTGCGAGTGGATGAACATTTCATCGATATAATATCTTTAGCAAGGACTATATCCAAATGTCATCCACTGTAAAGATTTCACACTATGAGTTGTACCAATTTCAAAAGATAATTGAACAATTGAAGTACATTTGACACATTTGATATGAAGATAAACTGAGAGATATGAAACAATAAAAAAAAAACATGAAAAGAGTGTAATCTGCTCGACTTAAAATAAAAATATCTGACAATATTCTATTTATAAAATAATGATATTTTTATTTTCTAGAAAGAAAAACATGATATTCTCTCTTTTAATTGTTTACAAACTTATACACCATACAGTTTACATTTGCAATCTAAATTCTAAATGAAAGTCACTTTGCAGTGTGGTATAAGTCAGAAAGAGATTTTTTTTATAAAAAGACTACTAGATTTTATTTACCATATGACTTTCCTAACGATTTACTACTGTGCCATCCAATGTGTTACACTTATCTTCGTGTTTCTCTCTCATATAGAATCCCTACCTACGAGTACGGCGGAGCATTCGAGCGCCGCGGACAGCGCCGGCGATCAACAGAGCGATCCGCAGATCCAGCAATCGGCGCAGCAATGGCCAGCCGTGCTCGAACTGCAGGCCTACAATGTCGCGCACTCCGCCATTATTCAGCCGTACCATTTTTGGAACACGGAATTCCGTAACAAACAGCCAGCTTTCATCAGGCTGAACTTGACCCTACCATGGGGTGCGAATTTCGCAGTATACGGCAGACGGAACGTCGCGCCCAGCGTCACGCAGTACGATTTCGTGGAGTTCGTCAAAGGTGGCAGGGTGGTCCACAGGTTGAAGAGGGACATCACTGCCGTCAGTTTTATGCAGTCCACCAGTCCGCAAGACATCCACGTGGAGCGCGTGCCGCAACCGGTCGCACTTTATCAACACGTGCTCATCAAGAGGACCATTGTGGAACCATTGATGGTCAATGTCAGTCTACTGCAGTACTTTGACACCGGCGACTGGTTCCTGTCCGTATATAACGATGAGTTGCAGCCTTACAAGGTTACTTTGGTCGTTACGGAAGCTGAAGGTGTCTCCACTACATGTCCCAATGACTGCTCCGGACGTGGATCGTGCTACCTTGGCAAATGCGATTGTATAGACGGATATCAGGTGCGTTTTTGCAAAATTATCTTTAAATTAAATAAGAGAAAAAAATCCTATTTTTGATCGAAGTGGATTCTAATAATATTCAATATGTAGATTTACAATTATATTTTTCATTTGTACAAACCGCGCGCCGATTCAATTTGTCGAAATGCTCCTTTTATTTACCTCAGCAACAAAAAAATCTTAGGAACATTTTTAAAAAATGATTTTATAAAAAAAATTAAAATTTTTTATTAGAAAGTCGAAAACGCAGCCCACAAAGTGAGAAGAAAATTTCCCATTTTGTCTAGCTTGTAATTTTTTATTTGTAAAAATTACCAAACTCATAGAAACACGAAAAACATAGTGACCCTTCGAAAGTACAGACTTTAAACTTTAAAATCCTTTTCTGAAATTAACATTTTATTTTTTACGAATGTATATATAATTTTTTATATATAATTTTGTGCTAATACGATATTACTTTTCTTCCGACCCAATAATTATCTTTAAATTATTTTTTCATTTGAAAAAATTAAAGATTAAGGAAATCAAATTTTTATGATTCCAGGGTGCTGATTGCAGCAAAAGCGTGTGTCCGGTTTTGTGTTCTTCACACGGACAATACGGTGGTGGTGTGTGTCACTGCGAGGAGGGCTGGAAAGGTGCGGAATGCGACATACCGTTAGGTGACTGCCAAGTTCCTGACTGTAATCAGCATGGCCAGTGCGTTAGAGGATCTTGCGTCTGTAATCCCGGCTGGAAGGGCAACTTTTGCGACGAACGTAAGTTGGGTTGATAGAAGATCAATCAAACGATATGCGTTTAGGAAAAGATTTGAGAAGCATATTTCGAGATATTGAAAAATTTAAGAGTAATTTTGCTTCTAAATTTAATTTATATTTTCTTATATGGATGAAAAAGGGAAAAGATTGAGTATATCGGAATATCGGAATACTTTAAAAAGATCTGAATACAATTTACGAGCGATGACGTTGCATTGCAAATGTGTACGACGTTATGGCACATATTTCAGCCTTAAAAACGGCTTAGCGGAAATCACGGGTGACGGAAAACGTTTACCTCGTACATCTATTTCTGCCCCGGGATCGTTATTTCTTCATGTTTGTCACAGCATCATTAATTTTCCCATAATTCAAGCGTACGTCCTGGCCCTCTATCCGGGGAGATTCAAGATATTAGTAATGCAGAGTCCCCGTTGGTGGGAAACACAGTCGGCCTGTGTACAACCTATAATTAATGCACGCGGAGTTCTCCAAATTTACATATGGGTCAAGCCATGCCAATTCGGCGCGACAATTAGTTTCGTATTGTTTCGCGGGAATTTGAATAATACACGGGCGTGTGCGCGCGCGCGCGCGGCACGCAGCTGCGTTCGATATGTTATAATTTCGCGTAGCCCCGGAACTTCCGGGGACTGAGTGACGCATGATATAAATGACGAGATTATTCGCCGGGAACGAGACACTTCGTCTCTGACATTCTCACGGTCCTCGTTAGAGATACGCTCGCCCGTCGCTTTTTCCTAAACGCAGGCGAAAACGGTATTAGTTCCACGTCAGTGGAATATGTCAGCTCCAATCGTAAGAACGATAAATTTGAGGAGCGAAAACGGATTTGCATTAGTTGCGACGGCAAATGAGAACTAATTGACGAATAAGAATCCGAATCAAGAGTCATTTCTTTTAAAGAATTTCTTTTAGAGACAATAGCAATCTCTGTATCATATTTTATATTATATTTGCATGATATACTTAATATATGCATGATTTATTTTATGACATATTCAATTTTTGAAAGATTTATTTAATTATCAAAATAACGTCGAGTTGGACAAATTATTCCAATAATTTTTTATTTAACTTGCTATTCAAATAAAATTTTATTTATTATTTGCATTATTCTCATTATTATTTTTTTTTATTATTACTTGCATAGGAAGCTCTCCAATTCAAAAAATGAATTAAAAATATATATATTATAAAACTTTAAATTAATCTGAAAAGAGTATGCAATTAATATCAAACATTACTTAATAGAACTATAATTAATACATATTACTTGAATTTTTGTTACGTACAAAAATAATAATTTGAGAGAGAGAGAGAGAGAGAGAAAGGCTCTCTGAAAAGGTATGTAATATGTAATTTCTTTCTAATTATATAATTTAATTTTCTATCCGCTCATATTAAGTTTTTTTTGTTTTTTATCAACTTTTAAATACGTTTTGAAAATAAAACATTTCTAAAAAAAAATATACAATAATTTTATTTGTACTATTAACAATATATAAATAATTATTATTCGTTTAAATTATTATATTATTTGATAATATAATGGAATAATATTATTTGTATATTTTTCGTATATAAATAATAGATAATGAATATATATTATTCGAATAATTATTTAGATAAGAATTTATTTATCGTTGAATCGAATAAATTGTTAATCAAACAAAAATTTGTTTATTATTTACGAATAAATTATGTTTTGTTTCTTTTATTTATTATCTATTATTCAAATAAAATTTCTGCCGAATGAACAATTCTCTAAAACTACCATTTCGCTTATCGTTCACGACTTGGAAATTGATGTCTCAACATTTTTACCGAAAAGAGCTCATTCCGAGGAAACATTCTGTATGTACCATTAAATACACTTAATGGTATCATACTTCAACGCCCAATTTACCGCGTTTCGCGTTTCTACGTTTCACGATGGCGCGCGAACGCACCTGTCAGGTTCTAATGAAAGCGAACAAATCTATGATCCCGTTCGATCAATGTCGCGCATACATAATGCAAGAAGAATCTGCCAAGAATCCTCTCATCTCTCGTATCCCGTATACATATAACGCAGCACAGCGGACGCAGACGACGACGCGGCTCCCGCCGGCACCGCCCACGCCCGCGCCCCCCCCGCCAGGGCGCCCGGGGGTT